GTGCGAATGTCGGGTGGTATTGTCGACCATACGCGGGACTTGTTGACGAGGGGCAAGGAGGTCTCACTGAAGCATGGCCAGTTTCCCTTGCGGTCTCATTTTGTAACTCTGGCGCAAGAGGTGTCTCAAGATGCAGGCCAAAGCAGCTGTCCTTCGGATATGCGATCAGGATCGGGTAGCAAGCAGGGATCGAGTCTGTCAGGTGCCAAGCATGGATCGAATACTGCGCCGAAGGGTGATGCGGGACACCATCGTGGTGACGATGGTTTGTGTCAAGCTGTTCAGCATCGCAGGTACTACCAGTATCATCCGAGGGCGCACTATCGGATCGTGTTCAAGGAGGTGTGCACCGCGCTGCATCAAGAAATCTCGTTGTGCCCAGTGTTCGACTACCTCTCTCAGACGGCTTTAGGTAAGATCACCATGGTGCAAATTCACTGAATTGTACTGATATGTGTCGGTGTTACTACCAGTGCTGCGATTTTTGCATGAAGCCGGTTGGGTGCATCGGGATCTGAGCACGGGCAATATTCTCGTGTTGAATGGAAATATTAGATTGGCTGATTTTGAGTACGCCAAGCGGCTCGATGAGTCCAGTTCCTCTCATGACATTCGGACAGTGAGTGTCGGCGCTTATTCCTTCATTCTCGCTCATGAATTTGACGCCGTTTCAGGGCACGGCTGACTTCATGTCCGTTGAGGTAGACGACCAGGATTATTTCTTTTTAACCCAAGAATTGAATGACGCTCAAATCAAGACCGACGATCTCTTGGATGATCTCTCGGATGATGACACCCCGCAGGCTCCATCGGAACCAGTGGAAGTCGTGTTTCGATACAACCCTCTTCACGATTTCGAGTCACTATGGTGGATATCAGTTTACTTTTTGTTCAACAAGAGAATTGCAGCTGTCGATCAAGCTCCTCCACCACCTCATGATCACAGTCAACAGAGAGCCTTTGCCTCTGACATCTTCTATTCGCTGCGCGGAAGGCAGGTTGCTTTGACGAATCACCATACGTTTCAAAAGGCAGTGAGGTCCCTTTCTCCTGTCCTGGCCAAGTTTGGCAAATCCGTCAACGTGCTTAGGACAAGAGTCGTGGATCGCTACGAAAATATCGAGAAGAATCCACGGACCATACCTAGCAGCACGGCTGCAGGGGAGGTTCCCATAGATTTTATCAAGATTCTCGGCAAACTTGGACAGCGTCGTGTGCAATGCCTCATCGGCCCTCTTCCCGACCGCGATGAGGGGGTCAAGGCACCGACTACAGCAGGTGAAGCGGTTACGAATTCGACCAAAAGTCAATCGCCCAAGCCCACCGATGATGATCCCAAAGTACGGGGTATTCGACCGGGCGGAATACGAAAATACGAAGGAAGGACAGAACCGATTCTACACCCACTTCAAGATCCTCCCGCTGGGCATCAGACTTTCGGTGCGAGGAATTTGAGAGCAGAAGGGTTCAAGCATCCGATGCAGACCCGATCTAAGGCTAAACAATCTGCTGCCGAGGCACAAAGGCAATAAGCCGGGAGCGAGGATATCTACGATTGCTATGACTTGCTCTGCTATGCGGTATATATTGTCATGTCTAGATTCGTACTGTATGAGCACGCTGTATTGGTCGCTCAGAGCGAAGCGTGTATATTTTTGACTACGCATTTCTTTTGCTATTTTCAGCATGCAAAGCCAGTCCTATCATGTAGTAGTGAGCCAGCTACATTACACATGTTTGATGCCAATCACTGTGCACGCCACCGCTTACTTAGCTTGACGGATAAGCGGCGAAGCCGTATGCGGTTGTTGCATTCGACGGCTCGTTCAGCGTGCCGACGGGCTGAACTCTGCACCGAAGTTGCCCGGGCACGACACGGATGAACACGCCGCGAATACCAGCTCTGAGCTGTCTTGAATATAGCAAGGGTTTGCAGCATCCATATACGTTGAGGATTTGGTCAACCGTGAAATTGTCTTCTCCTTCAGGCGTGACGATGGGTGGAGGTCGGGGCCATTATCGCGAAGGAAAGAGTGAAGCATCATTGTCGATGAATGACGTCAATTCGCAGGTGTGGAAGGTGGGCTGTGTCGTTGGTCAGAGCCTGCACAAGCAGATCTGGGTTCTTGAACACCACGAACGCAAGAGAAAGTCGCCCAGAACAGCTCTTGTTGAGTAGAATCATCAGCGTCAAGGGCTGCTGGGGCTGGGGCCGGGGACGAACGCCGAGCGTCAGCGCCGGCTGGAGAGCGAGCTTCAAGAAGATGTTTGAGGACGGGATGTGACCAATCGATCGTGAGCGACGAGAGCAGAAGGGCACATCTGCCTGCAGAGAACGTGGACGGTGGATCTGGGGTTGACGGGCGGGGGGTGGAGGTATTCGGTATCCATCTGTTACAGGAATAAGACCACGATATTACAGTCGTAGGCTATCACTACGCACCTGAGGGATTGTACGAGTCAAATCTGACAAGGACAAATGTAAGCTATTCGGCTGCGGCTGCTCAAATTCCAGTAAATCATACTTTTTCCCGCCACCTCCAGCTTGATCCTAAACTTCGGCTCCCATCGTGTTGATACCGCTCCAATGAAACCGACTTCTTGCACTCCGATATTCTGAAACTATTGAGGCCCTTTCTCCGCAACAGAATGTGCAACAGCCCGAGTGCACTGCGAGACAATCACCTTGCCGTCCGCACGGGGGAACGAATCGAGTGTTTTTGCAATAGGAGATCTCGCGATGTAAAATGGCCGCCGCGCAGGTCACCGTAACCCAAGGTGTTATATCAGTGGACTAGAACCAGTCGACGTGTGACGGCACGAGCGCAATGTGAAGGCGTGATGGATGCGTACGCATATAATGGCCTCAGAGAATGAGAACGGTGACATGCAATAGCGGATTTGATCATAGGAAACTTTTTTTTCAGCCACGCCAGATGGTCCTGAGGCTATGTGCGAAAAGGGACAGATCTTCATTGGAATCCACCAGAGTCATCAAGCATCTGGACCTGAGAGGCGACCTAAATGTTCCGCTAACAGGTCGTTGTCTAGTGTGTTCCGTTTAATAGCGTGCGCACCATGTTCTGTGAATATGAAGGCCAAAAGTCGGGACAAACTGAAACAGCGTCGGACAGCTTGCATTCGAACCAAAGCCCAAGATTAAGTGTGACAGCATACTCTTCCTTGTGAATATGGTTAATTGAAGACGCATATATATACAATATTCAACATGCACCATTGCCTGGACTGTCAATCACTGTCATCGCAAAGGGTCGTGCAAAAATAACGCCTTCAAAGGGATTGTCAAAAGTGATGGGCGGATTCTGGGAGACATCCTCCTCCATTTCCGTTCGATTCTCATTATCACATCAACATCCATAGTTACGACTCCTGTGCTTTTGGCTTCCGGGCCAGTCTCTTCTTCATTCGCAGCGGTTCGAGCGAGCAAAGTCCACCATCCAATCCCAAATGTCTTTGTTGAACACAGCCGGCGGTTTAAAAATCCCCCAACTCATCGGAAAATCCCATCATGACAAGACATCCCTGAGACAGCACGGCGCCCTTGCGGAGAGCGCGAGAAAGAACATCAACCTGTTGCTGCCAAGCACGTTTCCATAGCTGGAACGTCCAAGTTTCGCCGTGAGGAGGGGGGGAGGCGCTGAGAGTTCCGGATGACCCAGAAAGGAATATGTATGGCCTGAGCAAGGGACGCTTGTGAACAGCATATGGAGGGCTTGACACGATCTCTCGAGTCTTTCGGCGACGCGGAACGGCAACTTCGCGCGGATCGACTTTGCGTCATGGTCCCCTCGTCGCTGTCCATGTCCGAGTTCTGCAGTATGAACACCTTGATGCCATGAACAAAGAGGCTCGCCCGCACTTGTGTGAAGGTTGCCCACGAGTGAATCTGATTTCGGCCTCTTGTTCGAGTGAAGTGGATAAGACAGGCATCCGCCGCTATGGATAGGAGGGAATATGCTGGAATACGTTGCCTACTTGCGTTCTCGTCGCTCAGAGTCACACCAGGAGCAAGAGCACTTGACAATCAGAGCATCAAGATATCATGCCTCCGGGTTGTGTGGTTTTAAGGCGCTGCGCCGCTGATAATCTACAAGCTCAGGTACGTGAGGGCGCCCATAGTGATGACCTGTGTCGCGGCATGGTAGCGAAGAGCAGTAGAGCAGTAGCTTTTTCGACCTGCACTTAGAGTTGTAGTTCCCGCGGAAGAGGTAAACTCGTAAGCAAAAGTGCGGCCGGTCATCGCAAGCGGGGGCGGAAATCGACTGCGTCGTTTGCATGAATGATTATGCACCGGGAGGCTGTCTAATAATGGAGCGTGACAACCGCACGACGACGGGCAGCGCCGTGAGAGCCCGTGGTCGTGTGGCGAAGAAAGCTCACAGGTCGGAAAGTTGAAATGAAGATCTTGGAGATGCGCTGGCGCTGGCACTGGAGGGTTTGCACTGCCGTCACGGGCAGCCTGTGCGTGGGATGTGGATGGTTGGGATGATGAGATTGACGAGTGGGATGAGACGAGACGAGACGAGACTTGAGATAGCCGCGGCGTGGGCAGCGACTGCGGGCTTCATTGGCGCTGACGGAGGATGGTTCGAACTTGATTCTGTGCTCTCAACTTGCTCTCTGCCTCTTTCCTCCTCCACGGCCGCGCACACGCCCTAGCGAGCTGCGCGCTGCCGACGGTCGTGACTCGTATACCCACAGCGACTGCTTCCGCTCTCACCAGCTACGCTCCTTGTCTCACATGGCCCTGCCTATCTTCTCCGGCTCCTCGTCCACCCCCCACATCCAGCTCTCCTCCCCCCCCA